AGGAATTTCACGTGGTGGCCCGCATTCTGCTCTCCCACACGCGGGGGTAAAGCAAGGGGATGCTGTTAGCAGGGGAGGAGGCAGCGCACTTACACACACCCCCTACAAGCACTCCTGCGCCCAGCACCTGGGCCAGGATGTGCAGCCAGCCCAGGGGACAGAGGGACGTGCAGCCAGTGTCCCCCGGCTCCGCTCAGCCGTGTCCTCACTGCTCCTTTTCTCCGTGCTCATTAGCTCAAGCCACTGCCACGCCAGGGCCCCGAAGTCCCAGCCAGCAGCCCGGCTGGAGCAGGGAAGGGCAGCGGGAAGGCAATGCCTTTGGCTGGGAATTGAGAACCAAAGCACTTTGGCCAAAGCCATGGATTTTGCAATCTTTTATTTAAAAAGTAGAATTTTAAAATTAAAATTACAATCACACGCTGCTCTGCCTCTCCCTAAACGCTCTGTGTGCCCACACATCTTGCTGATGCATCTTGCCCTGCTCCCTACATCTCTTGCTGCCTTGCCCTGCTGCACAGCCCTGCCAGCCCAGAACTACGCCTGGATTTAGCCCAAATCTGCTTCTTTTGGGCTCTGCACTAACCGTGGTTATTGTGCAGAACCTGCCATGGAAACGGACCCTCGGTGGGACAGCTCTGCCTGAGACAGAAAGGAAAACTCCCCTGAAGTGGCCAGAGCTCATGGGAGCCCATGGGAGGGGGACGGGGTGCTCAGCGAGCCTGGGGACAGGGTCACACCCCAGCAAGCTCCTCTTAGTCAGGAATAATTAATTACCTTCTCGAGGATCTTAGCTTCAGCCCTTCCCTGCTCATGCACCAGCCCAGGAGAGGAGGGAGGGAGGAGACGGCAGCGAAGAGGGTAGAGAATTAATTGGACATTGTGTTGGGAATCGCCTCCTGGTTGCTGTCAATCTTGGGAGTGAACAGCCTCTTGTCTCACTCAATAGGAACTTTATATGCTCCTTTAATCCTTCAGTCCGTATTGTCAGGGCTTCCCCCCTCCTCCTGTCTCTCCTTCCCACCGCAGGACTTTTGATGACCCCAGCTGTCTGAGGCAATACAAAGAAGCCCCTTAACTAACACCCTGTGATCTATACAGGCAATAAAGAGGCTCCCCTTGACAAGGATTTGCGGGCAGAATATATGCAAATGCTGGGATGTGGGTGGGTGGGGAGGTGTGTCGCAGAAGCCACTGCGTGCTTTGGCACCGCTCCCGGCCCTGGGACGGGGTGAAGGGGAGATGTGGTGCAGGTGAGGGAAGGTGGCACACAGGAGAGCCCCAGGCTGCAGGTGGAGGCATGCAGAGGGGACACCCAGTGCCACTTTGCTCCCTGCTGTCCCAGGCAGGGTGGGGATGGATGCCGTGGGGCAGCGAGGAGATGGGGAGTCCTGCACGCGGCTGTTACGGCAGCATCTCTCCAGCTCTTGGATGCTTGCAGCGTGGGCTCCTCTCTTTGTCACCCCTTCCTCCCTGTCCCTGCAGGCTCAGGACACCTGGCAGTGGCAGCAGGCAGCTCAGTGTGTGCGTGGCCAGGCTCCTTGCCTGCTCACACGGACATCCGTGCAGGCAGCATCCCCCCGACCATGGATGGGTGGTGCCACCTCTCCTCCCCTTTGTTCACCACCTCTCCTCGCACGCCTTGAGTTTTTCCTCTCTTTCCCAAGCCAGAGGGGTGAATCCCCTGGCATGGCAGCCCTGTGTTGAGGAATGAAACCCAAGGAGCACCAACACCACGTCTTCACGTCCACAAGCACGTGGAGGCCAGAAGTCCTCGTCGAGCTCCACGGCCGGGGCATGGGGTGTCCCCGGCAGCCCGGGGACACGGGGCCGGGTGCGGGCACCGCGTGCTGCTCCTCGAGAGGCCACGGCCACCTCCTGAAGTCAGGAGGCCATGCTCCTTCCCACATTAGCACATGAATGGGGCTGGGGGGGGGGGAGAGGCGGGAAGGGGGGCAAGCCCCCACTGTCCACTCAAGCAAACAATTTGGCTAGCAAATTGACATAATTACAAGGGACAGAGAGAAAAGAAAGGCGAGCCCCCTCCCCTGCGCTCCAGAGGGCCCGACCCCTGCCGAGTTACTTAGACCCTTTGTGAGACTCAATGCTAGGTACTGATTAGGGAACGTATGCCCTTTTCAAGGGCCCTAAGTGATTGGCTGCCTTAATCTGATTACAATTTACAGCACTCCTGAAGAAGGGGCTGGAGAGCCTTTCACACAGGCGTGGACGCGCCAGGTCTGCCACGCACGCACTCGCACCAGCACAAAGGTGCGCAGAGGTGCAGAGCCGTGCCGCGGCTGGGCGGCTGGCACGCGTCCCTGCGGGCGTGAGGAGGGGCACACGCGCGTGCAACGCACCCGCAGACGTGCCAACGCCACCGGGCACAAGGCGGGTGTGCTGCTGTGGCATTCAGGGAGCCACGGGGTGTGCGTGTGTGTTTGGAAAGGGTTTGGGCATGTGCATGTGAAGCAACACCCGCACGGCTGCAGCGTGTGCACAGGGACAGGGGGCTTGGCACACGCTGGCACCCCACAACTGGGACAGCCACCGAGGCTTTGGGCGTGCAGGGAGCCCACGCCAGCCCCAGTCTGGGGTTACACCACACACCTAACCCCGCACTGGCACACCCACGGGCACAGACACAAGCTCGTGCCCCCGTGCCACAGATGGGGATCCTGTGCAGGGGTGCAGGGGTCCCCGCCAGTCCGCGCGGCCATTCTCCAAAATCTCTGCAGCAGCTTGCAGGAGCGGGAGTGTGATCTAAGCCCACCACCTGCCTATTAAAAGCAGGATTAAATGGTGCTGTTCCCCCCTCCCCACCCCCTTCCCGCTCTCTCTAACATCATCCCCTTGGGGAAACCACCATCTTTACATGAGATTTTCTTTCTTTTTTTTTTTTTTTCTTCTTTTTTTTTAACCTCTTTTCTGCTTCGTGCTCCATAGCTCCCAGGGGATTAGCAGCCAGGCTGGCCCTTCCAGCCTACTTGAAGGCGGGTTGTTTCAGCCAGCCCCCCCATGGGAACCTGCCCCAGGACAGCTTTGGTCAATGCCTCCGGTGCTTCCCAGCCAATTTGTACCACCTAATCCCTGAGGGTATCAACAGCTCCTTTCTCACACATCCTCCTGCCTGCCAGAGCAGGCCAATCCTCTGCTCCCCGTTGAGAAACCCTCCGTCCACTGCTGGGGCCGTGACCGCACTTCAAACACGCTGGCCCGACCCCAGCATTGTTTGTCAGGGAATTAAAACTGCAAGGCCGGCCCCAGAGAGTGATTTAGGTACTGAGACCAGACTGAGCCCTGCAAGAGCACAAGCAATAAAACGCTTCACTGCCCAGGAGTCTGGGCAATTCAGGTGTCTTCCCACGAGGAGGAGGCAGAGCCCAGAGGACAGGGAGTGGGGTTGGGGCTCCTTCTGCCCGCACGTGCATGTGGAGCGGGACCATCTCCTGCTGCTCACAGACCTGTCCTGATGGAGATGTGTGCTGGCAGCCTTGTTAAAACAATAAGGGCTGCTCAGTTTTTTTTTTTTGGTTACTGAGCTCCATGGCTCTTTGCAGGCTGCTGGGAAGAGAGACCAGAGGCTGTAGGAGCTGGATGCAACCTCCCCACAGTGGGACACTGCCTCCCCACCCTACATGGGGCTGGCATGGCTGGACACATGGCTAATGGCCAAAGCCCCTCTTTTTCCCATCCCTGTACTGGTTCGGGTTGGAGGGGGCTAACTTGGGTGAGCCACCTGGACAATCCAGGGCAGGAGCAAAATTGTCCTGGCCAAAGCCTCTTAAGTTACAGCCAGCAATGTCAGAGCCTGGAATGAGGTGGGGGGATCTGCTATGTAGGGATGCTGAACTGGTAAATTGAGGGACACCCCAAACTCATCCCAAGGGGAGAACTAGCCCAGGAACTAGGAATGCTGCATTTTAACAGCGATTTAGCTGAATTTCCCCTTAGACAACAAAGCCCTTTCCCTGAGTCCCACGCCACTGCTGTGCTCAAGACAATTACTGCGGAGGATTTTAGGCCTTTTCTTTTTTTTTTTGCTGCTCCTTTTATCAACAGCAAGGTTGTCTCAGGCCAAGCAGAGACAACCCTGGTTCAGAACAGAGCATCTCCTGCGCCTGGCTGTCCCCGTCCCCTCGCCATGGCGGGGGAACACAGTGTTTCGGCGCCTCCTCCTCTGTCACAATGTTTTTCAGCTCCACCAAGCAAAGTGTCCAATTAGAGCAGAGCCTCTTGCTTCCATCTTTGCCGACATTTAATTAACATGCTGCTGCTGGCAGCCGCTGACAAATTCCAGAAACATGTTGTAAAGGGTTTTTGTCTTTACCCAGCATGGAAAATGAGGGTGTCATATCCCAAGGGGATGTGAATAGCTACTTTTGACTCCCCCCCTCAGGTGTGAGAATTACAGCTAGATGCGGTGAAGAGACCTATCAGCCCTCCCACCTCCTTTTTTTATTTTTTTTCCCCCTTTTTTTCTCCTGCTCCTCACACATCACCCCAGAAAACACACAGGTTTTAGGCCTGATTTTCACTGCTGTCTCCCTGTAACTCTGGCTGAAGCCTGATGGCCTTGCTGGCTGGCTGGAAGTGGGGTTAAGAGACGGGGCTGCGCTCTCTTGCCTTTGGGCTCTTCCCACTAGAATAGCACAGTGAAGTGGGAGGAATGGTTTGATGAAAATGGAAGAAATGGATGAAACTGAAAAGAAGGAAAGGGCCTTCACAGCCATTCAGTACAAGCAAACAAGGCCCCCAAAGAGCCGATGGAGGCCTCAGCTGAGTGATCAAGAGGAGATGGCAGTGGGAAGCACACAAATATGTTGCCAGGCTCAAAAGCAGGCTTTGGGCAGCAGCGTGAGCACAGGGACAGCCCCTGCACCCCAGCACCATGTCCCCAAAAGCACCAGCCTGTGCTCCCCACAGACCTTCAGCCTTTGCCAAGGACAACCTGGCTGCCGTGCCTCTGCCTTTTATCAAGGAGATACACTATGAGAGAGCCATTAGAACAACACGTGCTTATTTTATTCACAGGAACTAATTACAAAACTGAACCAGCGGGGCAGGGTTGCGGGGGACAGGGCGATTTCTCCGGCCACCCGCTGTCTCCACAGGGGCAGGGTGGCGACCGCCATCTTCCCGCCGCCGGGGTATCCCCGCCACCCTGCTGAGGTGGCAGCCCCAAAAGCCGGCGGCTCATGGCGAGGCAGGCTTGTCAGGGTTGTGCATGTGGTACACATCGCTCTCCTCGTCCTCAGGCACCTGCAGAGCCATGCAGCCCCTTCAGCTCCGCCGCAGGCCCTCATGCGACGGGCGGCAGCGCCATCTTGTGCCTCCCAGCCCACCCGCCACCACCCCAGGCCTCACCTCCCAGTAGATATCATCCTCGAAGCAGTTCTCATCCGCCGCATCGCCCCAAATGGGCAGCTTCAGGATGGCCCCTGCAAGAAGCCGGGGAAGGTGGTGGGATGGTCAAGGGGCACCCTGAGCGCATCTCTGGGACGCATCGCTCAGGGCTATCCCCGCCGATCAGGGCTGATTTTGGGGCGCTGCCTTGCTCGTGCAAAAAGATGCCCAAGTGATGGTGGAATTTGTGTGGGAAAGGGGTGCTCCCCAGTTCCTGGCTCTGAACCCCGGTGCATAGCCCCGATGTTGGGCCCTGACCCTGCTGCTCATGGCCCTGGGTGATGCTAGAAGAAACTGCACTGGTCAGGAGATGGGGAAGAAAATGGGATTTCTGCTGCGCTCCCGCTGCCCACGGAGTGGCAGCAAGGATATGTTGGATGGAGACAAGGTCCAGGTGGCCAGAGTCCATCTTTCCTAGCAGCAGAGGGAATGAGCCAAGCCCTGATGTGGTGCTCAGTGCTATATCAACACAACCTCCCACCCCATCCCCCTGAGAGGAGATGAGGCTGTGGTCTGACCCACATCACAGTGAAACCCCCATTCCTCTATTTGACCTTGCTGGGATACAGTCTTCCCTCTTCACTGCCCAGTATGGGCTTTTGGGGTAGTCCTGTCTGCAAGGAGTCAAAAGTGATGTGAGCAAGCCTGGGGCTGCCCTTTCTGCACAGCGGGTGCAACCCTTGCAACACAAGTAGGAAGGACTCGTGCAGCCAAGGGAGTCTCCATTTCAGTTGCAGGATGGACCCAACCCTCACCTTTCCGTGTTCTCCTCTTGCTTACCTACAAGGGCCCCCCCAGCGAAAGCCATCAGCAAAGACACAAAAATGCCAGCTGCCTGGAACCCTCCTTGGACACTGGGTGTCCGCGTCTTGTAGCTGCCAGTGAAGTCAAATGCCTTGATAAACCTGCAGAGGATGGAAATGGTGAGGATTGCTTCTGGCAGAGATCTACCCTGGTGGAGAAAGGTTGTGCAGAGCCAAGGTAGAGGAGCTTTGTTGCCCTGCTCCCTTGAGGGCTCCTCCCTAGCCCCATCCCTCTTCGACAATGGACCAGGAGTGTGTTGCAATGACACAAAACACTGTTCACTTCCTTCTGTTCTGCCCCCTGGCAAAACTTTACCTAGGAGGAGTCCAAAATGTAAACATTTCTTTTGTTTCAGAACTTCAGCCTTACTGGAATCCTAAAACAATGCACAGATAGAGGAAGGAACATCTCCCCACCCACTGTGCCCCAGAGTAATGCCAAGGAGTGGGGTTGATTCACTTTTTGAGGATGCCAGAAGTCAGCTACAAAAGATTAGTCTTTCATACTCGAGTAAGCCCAACATAGTCATTGCACCCCATGTTTTTGAGTGGAAAAGGGACAACTCTGGACACAGAGCAAAAGCTATTAATTGCTCCTCTCTTCCAGCCCATGAACCCTAGGTAAGATCTATTCTCGTGGATGAGTTTCAAGCTTTCTTACCCTTCCTTTCCATATACATCCTCTGTGGCTGCAGCTGCAGTGATGGCTCCCACAATGCCCCCAATAAGGCCTGGCATGCCGTGGAGGTTGTGAATGCCACACGTGTCCTGGATGTGCAACCTGGACTCCAAAACAGGCTGAAGGGAAGGGAGGCAAAGAGATCAGAGACATGAGCACAGCCCTGGAAAGGATTAGTTCCTTCCACAGAGGACTGGGATAAGCAGAGAAAGAAGATTGGTATTATGTGTCCCATTCAAGAGTTGAGGGTTCGTAGACAAAGATGTGAGTGAAGCTGAGGGTAAAATAAGAATTTATCCTCCAAACACTCTCCTGTTTGGAGACTGAGCCTTCCTGAGTGTTTTGAGGCAGTTAATGGAGTAAGAAGTGCATCTCCCTAAGGGACAGCGGAAAGCAGGATCCCTCAAGGGGAAGTGAATCCGTTCCTGGTCTCCTTGGCAGGACCAGGCTGCAGACCCCCAGAGCAGCACTCACCGTGAGGTAGACATACCCCACCGTGGACACGATGCCACAGATGAACCCGACAATGAGGGAGCCGTATGGGGTCAGCATCATCTCCGCGCTGGTGCCCACAGCCACACCGCCAGCCAGCGTTGCATTCTGGATGTGGACCTGCAGAAATAACCGCCCCGGCTTGGCATCTCAGGGAGTTCCTGATTGTTCAGGGAACAGTGCAAATGGTAGAGCAGGAGAACCAGCTCTGAAAGTGCTTCCATAGGAAATATCAGGGCCCACTTTCCTGCTCGTTGGTGAAAAACAAGAGGAGAAGAACAGGCAGCCTCTGTCGGTAGCACAGGCACACACAGACTCCCACTCCCCGTACCACACACGTTCTTTGCATCCACCAATCTGGGTGGGGAGTTGTGATGAGATGGAAATTGTCTCACCCATGTGTCATGCCAGCTCTGCTGTCACACAGCTGTACGCCCCCACACAGAACACGTACAAGTCAGCCCCCCGATTGCTCACAAGCTGCTGTACAGGACCCCGCTCAGCTTGCTGGGGAGCGCTGCCAAACCTGGCTCTGCATCGTGCCCATCAGCAGCTCTCCTGGGAGAGCTGTGCCTGAGCTTCACCACGTGCAGGGCACCAGCCTGCAGCTCATGACCACCAGGGCTCACTTCCCACCTGCTTTTTCAGTGCACCCTCTGGCTGGAGGCTGGTTGCACCACCACGTCCCAAAACCCCAGTTCAGCAAAGGACAAGTGTCGCTCTCTTCCTGGGCCCTTGGTCAACCTCATTATAAGTCTCCTGGGGAGCGCAGGGCTCTCGGCTCCCTGCTTACCATGTCCAGCTTGCCTTTCTTCTGCAGCATGCTGGAGAAGGCCATTGTGGTGAGGACACAGGCAGCCAGCGAGCAGTACGTGTTGATGGCAGCGCGGTGCTGGGCATCCCCGTGCTCAGAAATGGCCGAGTTAAAACTGGGCCAGTACATCCACAGATAGAGGGTGCCTGGCGGGGTGGGGAGGAGGGGGCAGAGAAGAGAAAGGGAAAAGAAAGAATACAGGAATTGAAAAAAAAAAAACCAAAAAACTCTAAAGGAAGATCTTTTCATGCAGAGGGAAGTTAAATCCCTGTGTCCTGCTGCCCCAGAGCTGCGACCCCATACTGGGACCAGCACCAAGTGGGGCTGGCAGAGGAGGGGAGCCAAAGCACTGCCTTGTTTTCCCAGACACCACCTGATCTCTGGCACCGATGAGGGGAGCTGAGCAGTCCCAAGGTGCTGAGAACTGGAACAGAGTGCTTCTCAGCCCCTGGTCCTGGTTTTGCTCTGTTTTTTCCAGTGACACAAGGAGGAACCAGCTCTCTGCAGCTGAGCGGCACGCACATACCAGCGAAGCCGAGGCTGCTGCTGACTCACCGATCATAGCGAAGAGGTCAGAGTGGTACACAGAGCCCTGCTTGTCCTTGCTCTGCTCCAGGTTGGGTCTGTACAGGACACGTGTCACGGTGAGGCCGAAGTAGGCTCCGAAGGTGTGAATGGTCATGGAGCCACCTGCGTCCTTAACCTGCAGCCGAGGGAAAGCAGAGGTTCATTTTGGAATTGCCACTCGTACTGGAGGTGAGATGTGGTCTGCCCATCCGTTTTTCCAACCTGCATTCAGCTATGGGGAGAGGGGGACTGCCTAAAGCCTTACGTGAAGCAGGTTGAGGAGGATGTACTCATTCACCGCGAAGAGCGTGACTTGAAACAAGGTCATGACGAGGAGCTGTATGGGGCTGGTTTTGCCCAGGATGGCCCCAAAGGCAACGCACACAGAACCCACGCAGAAATCGGCATTGATTAGGCTGGAAAACGGGAAGGGAAAATGTGGTTTAGTAAGGAAATACTCTTCGTAACTCACCCATACCCAGCTCTAGAGATCCCACCCTGAGACACGGAGGTGGTTAGGAGCCAGCTCTGGGATTCCCACTGACCTTCCTCCCAGCCTGACATACTGTCCAGGTAGGGAGCTTCCCCCAAAACTGTTTCCCATGGAACAGTACCATGGGAGGTGGCACCCCAGAGCCCGTATCTCTCCTTACTTCTCCACTCCAATGAGGATCTTCCCGTTCTGGAAAGAGTGGAACCAGCCCTGCATCAGGAGAGCCCACTGGATCCCGAAGGCGGCAAGGAGGAAATTGAAACCCACAGCTCCGAATCCGTAACGCTTGAGGAATGTCATGAGGAAGCCAAAGCCCACAAAGATCATCACGTGGACGTCCTGAAAAGCTGTGCACAGGGAAGGAGTTGTCAGCTCTGAGAGGATGGCAAGGCTGAGAGTGCTGCTTGAATTTGGTGGGGGAAGAAAACACACCACATCATGGCAGCAGGGAGGAAATTCAAGGGAAAATGTGTGTGCCTGTCCCATGTCCCCCCATTTCCAAGCCTGAAAGTGTCTTAGCTTTTGGAAACTGGATTTTCGGTTAAAAGGTTCAGTCCTGAAAGCCAAAAATGTTTATTAAAAGCTGTAAGCAAGGGAAGACTGGAGACTAATGGAGCGTGCAAAGGAAAACATTTTTCTATTCAAGTTGTTTTCTTCCCCTTTAAACAAACAAACAAACAAACAAACAAACAGCAAACATCGTGTGAAATGAACAGGGTCTGCCAAATATTGTTAAACCCACACAAATGGTCATTTTGTGTAGGTCCATCCAACTGTAGGGGTCCTGGTGATGGCTTGGAGCAAGGTGTTTAGGGAAAAACACAAGAACAGGGAGCTTACAAATACATTTTAATTGCCACTGAAATCAGCGGCAAAATACCCTTGAGAACAGGATCCCACCTTGCGAGATTTTGAGTGCTTAAACCAGAGAGACCCAGTTCTTCCAACAAGTGCTCATACCTGCGAACTGGGGCCCCTCAGATGCCCTTCCCCGGGGGAAACCATACCTGCGTGAGCCTCTTGAGAGAAATACTCGGTGCAATAAACCCGCTGTACTTTTTAATGCTAAACGTTTCTTTCAGATAAGCATCACTTTGCAATTAAGTGAGCTGAAACACTGCGTAATTACGAGTTGAACCATGCAGACCCTCACACTGGAGGCCACTCCAGTGAAAAAAAAGCAGGACACATAAGAAGCTCAGGGCAGAAGAAATTCAGCGATTGAGGACCTGCTCTGCCCCTGATCCTCTGCTGGCCCTTTGGCATCCAGCAGCCCTGGATGTGCTCCTTGGGGATGGTGGAGCTGTAGCCACTGCCTCCACTATGGGCTGGGTGAGGACTTGGCTGTGTGCAACTGCAGAAGTCTTGGCTTCCATCCTCTGGAGCTTTACAAGATCTTGCAACTTGAGTGAAGACGAGAATTTGGACAGGCGCCAGTGGTGTATTGTCAGGTTGTAGGAAACAGGTTAATTCCCTTGGTTTCAAAAATGCCCCCACCTATGATGCTACTTGTGAAAGATGGAGAAGACGAGACCTGCAGCTGACCCTGCTCAGCAGCGGTCACCCCAAGCAGCCTTCTCCCCATGTCCTAAGAAGCCGTCTTTGTAACTCTGGTTTAACCGTGCAGTCACACACGCTTTCCCTCTGCAGCTATATTTATTCTCTCCATCATTTTTTTTTTTCTCAAGCGTAAGCAGCACAATACACAGCTAGAATTATCCTCAGCCATTTGCATCAAATACTCCTAATTTCATCCTGTAAGCAGAAACACATGGGTCAGTTAGGGCTGCGGGCCCTCGGAAAATACAGCGGATCCCTGCTGCGTTAGACCCTGCAGACAACCAGGAGGAAAAGCAGGTCTTTCTTCAAACTGCACGCAGTCTAAAGCCGTTTTCTAAACCTTGCCTTTGTTTTCCCTTGAGGAGAATGACACTTGTGTTACACGGCAGGGCCGTGCCCTACAGGTTTTGTGACCCTTCTTTTGTGGGAGGGCAATTGGTGTCGCTCTCCAGAGGAGGTGTTTGGGCTTTGGGAATACAACCTGTGCCGAAGGATCTGCTTTCTCTTCCCTAGGGAGCAGATCATTCATTACAGAGTATCAACGTGTGACACAAAATGAGAAGACAGCGTTGTGCTGCCTGGAGTCGATGGCACCAGTGACAGGACTGCACGAACACATCCTGCATTTCCTACTCACTTCAGGTCGTCACTGCTCGCCCACTGCGACAGCTTTGGACAGGTCCTGCGGGCAGCAGCAGTCACAGGCATGTTAATACAAACGACCCTTGGGTGTTTAACCATCGAGCTCTCTTCTAAACAGAGCTGCGTGGACAGATCAAAATGCTCGGGTTCTGCCCTCTTGCTGTGTTGGTCTATTGCAGAGAGAGAGGATTTCTCTGATTAGGTACTGGTGGTAAAAAAAAAAAAAGCTGTTCTTTGGGCACATGAGCCCTTCCTCAGGTCTGGGACAGAAACAGAACTCAAAGCTAAGCTGAGCTAAGCAGCCTCTTGTAGGTTGATCAAGTTGTGGGAATCCACTCAGGCCAGTTTGAGAGGATACCTGGTGCTGCAGAGCGGAGATGGGCGGTGAGGACTGGTAGGGCTGCAACTGCTCTGAGCTCCTACAAGCTCGTTCTTGGCCCCCTGGTGCCCTCCCAGCCCTTCAGCTACACAGGTTTCTGAGCAGCGGCTTTCTGCAAGCAGCTCCTTTCTGAACCAGCTAATCCTCAGCAGCCACAGGTTTCTATAGCTCCTTTGATTTAGCAGGTGTTTTTTAATGGAAATGTTCTAAATAGATGCATGACTCAGGCCCGTTGCTTCCTTGGAAACAATTGCCTGCAGAAGCAGCCTGTTCCCCACGGCTCACAAAGGAGGTGACCAGCCCTGGAGACCAAAGCCAGCCCCGGGGCACTGCCTGGCCAGAAGGGCTTCAGCCACCTGGGCAATCCCCACGGCGATCGGGCACCCCGAGAGATCGGCCCCGGGAAGCTGGCAGGGTACGAGGACTCCGGCATCAAAATGGCAGCATCTAAAGAGTAATTTGCTCGTGAGGGGGAGGACGTAGGAAGGGGAGGAAGATGTCACAGGATCTCAGCAGCCGTTCCTCCGTATGTACGGGGAAGCTTGCTCTGATCCGGAGCCGAGGGAGGGGGCAGCAAGCCGAAACTTGCAGGGTGCTGGGAACACGTCAGCCCTATTCCTGGGGAAAAGACGTCATGTACTGGTGGCACGAAACCCTGCCAACAGACCCCCAGAGCACCAGAGGGCCACAAGGGTTTTCTCACACCCTTGGGTGCGCCCCAGAGCAGTGTCAGGGCAAAGCCCAGCTCTCTGTGTGGAGACACCACCTCTGAGAGGCTCCGTCCCAAGTCAGATATAACGGGGGAAGACAGAAGAAGCACTTGGGAAAGGAATATCCTACTGAAACATCCCCTTTACCTTCTCCCCAAACACTTGGGGCAACAAAAACATCTTCTGGGTGGTATGTGTGTGCTGAGCTCATTGCAACGGAGATGATGGAGCATGGGATGTGGGATGGGATGGGATGGGATGGGACGGGACGGGACGGTGGCCAACCAGCACTGGGACCGGGCTTCCTGAATACTCACATGGGTATCGGAAGTAGAAATCATTCTCGATGTCGCTGGTCAGGTTCATCTGGTGCTTCTCTTCCTCCCAGTGGGCATCGGCTTCGGGGCCGAAGCGCACGAAGACGCCAAAGAGGACGATCATGGCCACCTCCCAGAGGAGGCAGACGAGCGGGAGCCGCCAGCGCATGCAGGTGTTCTTCGCCATCCCCTGGTGCCTCGGCCGCTCCATCCGCAGCTACGCCCAGCGCCCCGGCACGCTGTCAGCCCGCGGCCCCCTGCCTGCCCGTCGCGGGCCACATATATACGTCAGGGAACGCGAGGTGGGGCCCAGGGAGGTGCCTGCAGCAGGATCACATTTCAGACACGGAGACTTGTGGATGTGCTCTCTGCTCTCACCCTCCTTCCTCCCTGGGAGGAGAGCCGGGGCTCCAGCACCTCTTCTCCCAGCAGCTCCCTGGCCGCAGTGAGCCCTGCCTCCCCGGGGGACTCGTAGCCGTGGAGCTGGGTGTCCTGCCCCCTGCTCTGCCCTGCCCCACAGCCCTCCCCGTCCCCTTCTCTGACCCTGCCACCCCAGCAGCCTCCCTGCCCGCACCGTGTCCCGCTGCCCTCGCCCCTCGTTCGGCTCTGTGCATGCCCTTCCCCACTGCTGAGGATGCCAGGGCAGCCTGAGTCACCGGGCACGGCTCCATGAATGTCCGTGGGACAGTCCCAGGAGGAAGAGGAAGGTAGATGCTTCCATCCAAAGGCCAAGGTCATGCACAGGCATGCCGTGGCACTGCCAAGGCTGGCGGGTATCTGTAGGGTTACCCAGCCTGTCCTCCTGGCAAGACGAGCTGGGCTGGGGCTGCAGGAGCTGGGTGCCAGAGATGGGACCGGAGAGCTCAGCGCTACAGCCCTCAGCTGCAGGCTAAATAAACGTCCCCTTCTCCAGCACAGGGCTTCCTTTGGTGTTACACTAAACACAACTCTTCCTTTTTCCACCATTCTGAACCAGGTGCTGTGCCCTCAAAGAGCCAGGCAAGTCCTTCAAGAGGAGCCCAGCTCCTTCCTCTGCCTGCGGATCCCGGAGATGCCTGTCAGTCTTCCAGAGATGAAAGACTGCAGCCCAGGCAAGCTGCCCAAATTTGCTGATGGCATCTAATTGTGGCCTGCAGGCTGAGCAAGCAGCGCTGATTTCTGTGTTGATTAGGCAATAATTTGAGTTTATTATTATTTCTTGCTTGCTTTCTTCGCAAACTGACAGATGGCAGAAAAATGCTGGGGATGGTCTTGAAGAGACTGATGGCTGCACAAAATCCTTCTCCAATCCCATTTGGGCTCCAGGCAGGGCAGAGGCAGCTTTGGCAAGAAGCTGGGAAAGGCAGCTTGGGAGTGAGGAGCACATTTCTGTGGCAGAGCAGCCAATGAGAGATGCACCACGGAGGGTCACCTGGGAGCAGGGCAGCACGTAACCCAGCTGAGAAATCCTCTGGGCGTCCAACTATGGGGCAGCTGCAGCCGTAGACACCAAGAGGAGATCTCCAGCCAGAAAAAAGCCAAACCCCTGAGCAACACCCGAGCCCTAACTGCCAGAAGCTCTGTTGATAGTTGTGTGTCCTCCTGTCTGCTACGTGTCGGGACCAGTCCTTAGCCCTGCCCTGGAGCAGCTCTTGGAAACCTTGAGAAAGGAGACACGGGGGCACAAAGGAGCATTTCATAACATAAGGGGACCTGCTGGAGCCTGGTAGCCCGGCCCCAGCAGCTGTGCTCTACATGGGGACTCTCCTCTTTAGCAGAAGAAAGCAAACTGCAGAGCTTTCCAGCCTGGGGGCTCACTGAATTGGTGGCGTCCCCCCAAAAGCAGCACCACAGCCCTGTCCCTGCAGAGCCCGGGAGGTCCCACAGGGGCTGTCCTGCGGCAGCTCTGTCCCCTGCCTCCCTCCTCAGCACGTGCAGGCAGGGCACGAGGGATAACAGCTTTTCTATCAGCCCGATAGTCTCACCTTGCTGCACCGCCTCGCGCTGCCCCTTCCTTATCACCCTGCCGATCAGCACGGCGCCCCTGCCAGCCCGGCGGAGCCGGCACGCTCTGCTGGCTGCTGCACACGGGGCTCAGCCCTCATCTGCTCTCACCCAGCCGTGCCCTGGGAGCCTCTTCCAGGAGCACAGCTCCCCAGGCAGCTTTGCAGGGTGATACTGGGATTGCCACGCCAGGGTGAGCCACCAAATCCCCGTGAGCGTGCAGGTGTCTGTAAAGCTACCCCCAGCCCCCCTGCCCAAGGTTCGCTGAGGAAATCAGCAGGGTTGTGCAGGGGCTCGGGGCAGCTCCGTTTGTCCTTTTGCTCCGGGACGTGGAACTGGGCTGGCAGCGGGCAGGTCCCGGTTGCCTTGGGAAGGCTCTGGGTGAGGGTTGTACCGGACTGGTCCCAGCTGGGTCTCTCCCAGTTCCTCACTTTTAATGAGCACTAAAAATATTTCAGAGACGTAAAAACAAAATCTGAAGCGTGCACAAATCCCTCCCTCTTGCCCGGAGGCCTCTGGGCAGCTTCGCCCAGGAGAGGAGGGCACGGGGACTCCTTGGTTCACTGCGAGCTGTCCCAGCAGATCTTATCGCTGCTCGCACAGGGGCACTGGCACCAGGCTGGTCCCAGAGGTGACCGCAGCAGGTTTGTGCTGTGCATCCTGCTCGTCGGGAGGGGGCACAACGGGACACGTCCTGCTCCACACTGGAATGACACCGGAGCTCATGCCAGTGAGCAGATGGACTTTAATATCCAAGAAGCCCCCGAACCTTCCTGCAGCTCTCGCTGTTGTCAGATTGCTGCCCAGGGACATATCGGGCAGCAATGCCCAGCCCTGCTTGCTGCTCCAAAATCATGGCAAAGCAGCAGCAGTACCCGTAGTGCTGGGCACACACCATGGACAGGGCAATGATGGGACACGATGTGGGGAAGCTCCGAAGCTTTCACGCAGCACAGGAGAGTCTCTGGGCATCAGCCAGCATCTCAGGTGACTTGTTGAGTGCGGGTCCTTGAGGAGTGTCCTGAAAGCAAAGCACCCGAAGCAATCCAAAACAAAGCTTTGTGCCTGGCTCAGCGGAATGAAAAACAAGCTGTCCACTGGGGCTGAACAAAGTGTCGGTGTGGTGGGAGATAAAACATTGCATTTAGGTCTGGGGCTTCTCAGCCTGTCTCTGAAGTGAGACCTCACCATTAAATATTGCTCAGGGAGAAATGTCGAAAAAAGGTCAAAAGAAAGCACGACTTTTCTAAGTGCAGAATAGCACTTTTTGGATCAAAGTGCCAACCAAACGTGAGCCTAACCTACAAATGATTTTTCTGGTGGCCTTCCCTTCCCTTCCTCCCACAAAACCACGTTTATCAGCAAGTAAATAATTGTCCAGCGAGAGCCCAGTGGCTTTACTGGAAAGAGGAAAAGTCGGTGGTGTCCTTGGGGAGCGGGCGGAGAGGGCAAACCTCTCAGCGAGCAGCGCAAGCTCACAGCGAGGGAGGAGGAGGAGAGGCGTGCGGCCGTCCCCAGGGTGGTGCCGCCACACTGTCCCCGCACCCCGCACACATTTCTGGTCCCAGGCGGTCCCTGGTAGGGCCGGTTTGGGTCACACTCCGCTAAGTGCCCTCTTTGGGCTGCGCACGCCCCCGCACGTGGTCCCCACGAACTCCCGCCGGCGCGCCCCCACCACGCTGACGCCCCCGCCCCGGCAGCCAATGAGAGGCCGCCCAGGCGCTGACGTCACCGCCGCGCCCTCCCCTCCCGCCTTTAAGTTTGAAACCGGCGGCGGCCGCCAATCAGCTGGCTCCTAGCGCTTGGCCACGCCCCCTGGGGCTCCTCACCGCCGCCAGCCAATCGGGCGCGCCCAACCGCGGCCAATCAGCACCGCTCCGAGACAGAGCGCGGGCCGGCTCAGCGCGCGTGCGCGGCCACCCGCGGCGAGCCAATGAGAGGCTCCGGATGGGGAAGGCGGGCTGGCGGCGGCAGCCAATGAGGAGAGCGCGAGGCTGAGGCGCGAGCAGACGAGCGCGTAATGGCGGCGGCGGCGTGAGGGGGAGAGGCGCCGCCGGGCCGGGGGCGCAGGGAGAGGCCCTGAGGGGGCCGCGGGGCCGGGAGGAGGCCGCGAGGGGGCCCTGAGGGGGCCGCAGCCGCCGCCATGTCGGTGCCGTGCTCGCCCAGCGCCGTGTTCCTGCTGGACGCCTCCAGCCCGTGCAGGCGGGCGCGGCTGCGGCGGGGCGCCCTGCGCCTCCTCAACCACCTGTGCTGCCGCTTCGGGCCGCCCCGCCTGCGCTGGGCCTTCCGCTTCTTCGACTCGCTGGGCGGCCGCGGCGGGGCCTCGCGGGGCGGTGGCTTTCGGCAGCCGGGGCCCGGCGCTTGGGCTCGCTTCGAGGAGGAGCTGGCCGAGCGCATGGGGGCCGTCCGGAGCGGCCTGCCCGGCCCCGCGCCCCGCGCCGCCCTCACGCACGGCGGGCTGAAGGAGACGCTGCTGGGCTTCCAGTGGGAGCGGCCCGAGATCGCCTCCCCCACCAAGCCCCTCCGCGCCAGCCGCAGGTCAGCGCCCGGGCCGGCGAGGGGAGAGGTTCCCGAGAGCCTGGCAGGCCCCCGAGGGCTTCGCCAACGCCGTGTTCCTCTTCTCGCCCTGTCCCCACTCCGGCCGGGAGCTGCGGCAGTTTGTGTCTGGCAGCGCTGCTGCTGCTCCCCTTGAGCCGCCCACGGCCCAGGAGGTGGCGGAGAAACTCCTGCCCAGGGGCGTCCAGGAACTGCTGGTGGACCAGAAGGTCACGCTGTACTGGGTGGACACTGCCGAGTGGTCACAGGTAGGGAGCAAAGGCTCTGCTGGGCCGTCTCTATACCAAGTTTCTGTACAAGAAGGAAGGGGATCCTGTTCTGTGTGGTGAGCTCTGGGTGGGAAGGAGGTCTGCAGCCACTGCCACGTAGCCCTGGTCACTAAGACGCTGACAGCTGGGATCGTAGAACTATAGAATATCCTGGGTTGGAAGGGACCCACAAGGATCATCAAATCTACCTCCTGGCACCACACAGGTCTACCCAAGAATTCAGACTGTGTGACTAAGTGCACAGTAGAAATGCTTCTTAAACACCAACAGCCAGGGTTGCTCCGTCCCAGGTGCAGGACCCGGCAATTGCTCTTGTTAAACTTGATGCGGTTGGTGATCGCCCAGCTCTCCAACATGTCCAGATCTCTCTGCAAGGCCTTTCCACCCTCAGCAGAGTCTGCAACTCCTCCAAGTTTGGTGTCATCATCAGACTTGCTCAAAACACCTTCTAGTCCTACATCCAGATCATTTATAAAACGCTGAAGATGACTGGCCCTAAAATGGAGCCTTGAGGGACCCCACCAGTGACCATCTGCTAGCCAGATGTGGCCCCATTAACCACAACCCTTTAAGCCCTGCCCGTCAGCCAGTTGCTCACCCATTGGATGACGTTTTTGTTCAGCTGTATGTTGGACAT